CCTCCTGTGTCCATCTCAGGCCGTGCCTGGCTCATCGCTAGGGTCCCTGTTTACCCCATACTTTGTGCGCATCACTGCACATCCAGGTGTGCACCATTCAGCTCCAGCACATGGAAGTCCCTTATGGCGCCCATGTACCTGTGTTTGTCCCAGAGTCTGAGTTTTCCTGGGTCTGGACGGCCCAGTGCCCCAGCTTGAGCCCGACCCTACGCTCTGCCACGTGTTGGCGGCCTGGACGTCAAGTGACCGCCGGCTCCTCTGTCCGCCCCGCCCCTTCCAGACAGCGGCTCTGCGCTGCGCCTGCGCTCTGGCCCTGATGTGCCTGGTGCTGCTGCTGCGCCCCGATGGGACGCTGGGGGAGGAGCTGGAACTGCAGCCTCACCCCAGCCCCTATTGGCTACCCAGCTTCGGCCAGTTCAACAAGTACATAGAGAAGCTCTTCAATAGCAGGTGGGCGGGTGGAGAGGAAGGGAAGGAGGAAGGGAGGAGTAGGGGTAGGGGAGAAACGGACAACACCTGCCCCTCTGCCCCACCCCACCCCACCCTACTCCCCACGCATCAGAGCCCGGAGCTGGGCCCGCGGGGCTGCCCCCTGACCTCTGCAAAGACGCGTTCCGCAGCCTAAAGCCTAAGAACAACAAGAAATCTAAGGACGAGAAGAACACCAAGAAAACCCCACCCGCGAACGCTACGAAGCCCCGATCAGTGAACGCAACGACACTCCCCCAACGGAACATCACGAACCCTCCACCAAGGAACATCGCTAAACCCTGACCACTAGCCTCCTCACAGGGCCCCAGGTAGGAGAGCCCGGGCTCGGCTGGCATTCAGGGCCCTCACTCGGAACTGGGGGCAGGTTGGCGGGAGCGAAAGGAAGCCCTGTGGTGGGGGTGGGGGGCGGGGAATCCAGGACCCCGGGGGCTTCCTTCTCCAGGCTGGACTTTGACTTCCAGATGCCCAACACAAATCTCCCCACCCATGGACCCCCTTTACATTCTGAGAGGGACCCTGACTCCTGCCTCCCCCACCTCCCGCCCCCAGTGACAACAGTAAAGAGAAACGGAATCTCTTTTGCTTCCTTGACTTCTGTGGGCCCTGAGCAGGAAGGTACCCGCCCTTCCAGGGGAAAGGGGGACCCTGGAGCTCCTACTGGAGGGGCAGGAGATCTCAGCTGCAGGATCTGCCCTGCCTCCTCCCTGCAACCCATCCACCTGCCCCACCTCAGGCACTTACCCACCAGGGATTGGCAGCAGGGGGTGCCTCACAAAGAAGGAGAGCAGAAGTGAGAGAAGCAGGTCCCAGAAACCTCAAAGGAGGGCTTCTGCCAGCACCCACCCCCCACCCTGAGTTTCTACCCCGAGTTTCTACACCAAGCAGGGCAGCTTTGATGCCAGCCTGGGATGTCAGTATTGGCACTTGAACAAGCAGCAGTGCCTCCCCCACCCAGGGCAGAGCATAAGGCCCTGCCTGTGCCTCTTCTCATCCCCTCTGGCTGTGAGCAGAGCAAGGGAGGGACAGGAGCCCAGCCAGGGCCTGTCCCTGAGAAGCTGGGTTTGAGAGTGGCACTCTCCTCTGGGCAGGGGCAGAGGCCTCGTCCTGATCCAGCTCTCACACACAGGTATGTCCTGGGCAGAGTCCCATTTCCTGCCCCTGGGAAGTATCTACACCTCTCCCTACTCAAACCCATCCCCTTAGTGGCCAGAGAAAATTTGGAACTTCAGTCTCCATAATCCCAACTCAAACTGTTCTCCTGTTGAAACCAGCCACCCTCCCAGATACCCCCTTGGATTTAAGAATCAGCCTGAGCCATGCATTTGCCCAGTGGCTGCATCCTCTCCAGCTCTTTGCCTTTTGGGGCCTAGTTCCACTTTCAGGTCGTTTGCACACACCAGACGCAGCCAGGACTTGAGGGGAGCCATGATGGTGGTGTGCTTGCCATGGGGTCAGTGTGAAGTGCTAAGCCAGGGAAAGTAGACCTCCTCATCCACCAAACCCACGAGCCCCATCTCTTCAGGCAGAGCGTGCTGGGGAGGAAGGAGAAGCATTCCAGGAACCAGAAAGGTTCTGATTCTCTCACTTCTCCCCCCGACCCCCACCATGACTGTCACTTATCCACCGGTGCTCCTAGTCCCAGGAGAAGAGGAGAAAGTCAAGGTCAGTCCTTCCCAGTCGTACACAGACACACCGCCCCATCCCCATCTATTCAGGAGGCCTGAAAATGGCAACGGCAGGCAGAGGCCATGGGGACCCCTCCTTAGTGCAGGTTGCATCGGGCGGGATCCGGGCCCTCACCCTCCCAGAGCTGGAGCGTGCCATCTGCAGACTGGACTCCTAGAGGTGGCCAGAACCCTCAGCTCCTCCAGCTTCCTCCCTGGAAGGCTGAATCCCTCCTGCGGCCTCCCCTCCTGCAACTGCTTGAATAGCTCCTCTGCCCAGGACTTCACTACCTCTCAGGGCAAGATTTTCTGAGCATTAGTCTAATTAATTTAAGCTAGATAATTATGTTTCAGATACCATAGCAGTACTCATAGAATTTGCAGATTATGCCACCAGCTTATTTGATTCCAATAAAATGTCTTCTCTGACAAAAACAAAATAAACAACCAAAAAAAAAATACTTTCCAGTTTTCAGGTTCTTCAAAGATTCTGCCTTATAATCAAGGAGAGCCTGCCTTCTGGAGACCCCTCCTGGAGCCACACCGAGTTAACTAGAACCCTCTTCCATAAGGTGGAGCTGCATATATTTGAAGAACAGTTATCTCTCTGCACAACCTTCCAGCATGCTTCATGGAAACAGCTGGGTGGCTGGGGGCTGCATTGCAAATCTGTTCCTCAAAAGCTCCCGTTTACCGACCATTTACCTGGCTCAAGGACCATGCTAAATGTGTCACATGCATTATTTCATGTCCTGCTCACTTCAACCCTACTATTCTTCCCATTTTACAAATAAGGAACCTGAGGCTCAGAGAGGTTATGTCCCCACCCAAAAGCACACAGACGGAACATGGCAGATCCCGATTCAAGCCCAGGTTCGCCTGACTCTAAAGCCGAGGCTCTATCTCTGTATTGGATTCCCATCTGCCTCCAGACCTTGGACAAGCTGCTAGATCTCTCTGAGCCTTGACTTCCTCCTCTATAGAGTGAGGATAACAGTATCTCCCACTCACAGGGTTGTTGAGAGGGCTAAATGCCTCTGGCACACAGTAGGCTCCTTTTCCTAACAATCTCACAAGACACCATCTCCAGACCCATCCCCATCACTGTCCCCCGCCTCTGGCCGTGCTTCTGCTGGGTGCTGTGCCCCATGAGGACCTGTGTTCCAACTCGACATGCACACCTGACACACCTCCAACTGCCCAGAGGAAGGCAGCTCTGATGCCACCGATGCAGCCGGTGACTGTCTCAACCCCATTCATTCCTCTGGGCTCGGTCGTTACCCTTCTTCCCCATGCCAAGGACACTTTAGTATAAATTAGTACTTCACCTACCGCCTAGGCTGTAGGAAGGCATTGGTGGTTGGGGAGGTTGTGCTTGGGGACAGAGCTGCCATCAGGCTGAGGTACTGAAATGGGACAATTCAAGCTTCACGGACTTGCTGAATGACCTTGGGGGAGTCCCTGCCTCCCCCTGTACCACAACTTGCCCCTCTGGGAAGTGGAGAGGATGAGCTAAATGGCTCTGATGACCCTACAGACGTTCTGGATCATTAATAACACCCCTCTTCCCCTTCTCCTCCTCCCAGCCCTGCCCCTTTCTCTCCTGTGCATTTGGCTTGCTCCTGCCCCAACCAGGGTCCACAGAGACACACAGAGAGAGTGAGGCTGTGACTTTGATTTGCTTTATTTAGCCTGTGTGAGAGCAGGGAGCAAGCTGTGGCCAGAGCCAAGGGTGTGAACGGGAGAGAGGGGCCAGCACTGCCCTTGGAGTCAGAGGAGCAGGAGGTGGCCTCACGAGTCCACTGGGCTGAGCTCCCTGTAAAGAGACGGCAGAACATGGGGTGTGAGTAGGTAATCCTCATGCCCTTAGTCTAGCCCTGGGCCCCTGTTCTCCCCTGACCCACCCCCCATTTCTGCCCCAGGCATCTGGGCATCAGAGCAGGGAACCAAACCTACCTGGGGGCCACCGCGTAGGGGGAGCCGCAGTCCAGGAGGCCCAGCGTGCCTTCTTTGTCTCTTTTCCCATACCTGGGAGGGGAGAGGCAGCTGGGGCAAGCACTGTGCCCAGGTGCCAGCTCACCTGCCTTATGCCTACTCTTGGGCACCATATCCCCGGGGGCACAGGAGCCCAGGCAAGGTGAGTTGAGATGCTCTGCTTTCCCAAGAGCACTGAAGGGGCTGGGGCTGGGGCTGTGGCTGGGGTTGCAGCCCAGGGCCCCAGGGGCTGGGACCTCTGTCCCTCTCTCACACACACACCTGGGTCTGGTCAGCATGTTGATGTATCTGCGGAGCTCAGCTGCATACTGGGCCATCTGCTCTGGCGTGGCATCGTCTCCTGGGTAGACCGGCTCGAGCGGGGCCCCCTGGGCACCCAGGGGTGGCTGCAGCAACAGAGCCACACACGTGGACAGGAGCAGCAGGAAGAGGCAGCGGTGTGCGGTGGCCATCTGAAGAGCAAGGAGCAGGGAGATGGAGGCAGAACAGGGCCCACCGCCAGCCCCTTAGCCCCTCACCCATTTCTCCAAGCCGGGGACAGAGGGGCAGAGCAAAGGGCTACTCGGACCTGACCAGCCCACCTCCTAGAACCTGCCCCTCTCAGGAGCAGCAGGGCAGCCGGAGCTCTACCAGAGCCTTGGCAAAGTAGGAAAGGGGAGCAGAGGAGGTGGGATGGGGGGCAGGAGACAGAGGACTCGTGACATCCAGGACCTGATGGCTCTGAGCCCGTGTCGCCTTGAGCAGAAGGCACAGTCACACCCATGGCTCCCAATCACTCACAAGGTCTCAGCCACTAACATGTTTGTGTTCACAGCCACCACCCCCTGCCCCACACACATTTGTAATCTTCTAGTCAGCAGCCTGCTCTTCCAGGGGAACAGATTTGTCCACATGTAGAGCCAGACCCAAGTAGGCCTCCAGAGGCCCCAGCCCTGCAAAGCATCGACTCCTTTCCCTCATCCCAGCCCCTGGCCCCTAGGAGCCCCCCCAGACCCCAGAGCTCAGGGCAGGCCGAGCCCGCTTACCTGGAGTCCTGAGTGAGCGGGCGCTGGACCAAACGAGTGTGTGCTTCAGGCCGAATGGATACCCCTGCCCTTGGCCGTGCCCCTTTATAGTCCTCAACCCCCCCAGAGTCCCCGCCTCCTGTCGGCCTCTCTCACATCCCAGCCCTCACCCCCTCCCACCATCTCCTTGGTGCCCGCAACGCCAGCACTAGGGCCAGTGACAGGAGGGGGACCGAGCAGTGTTGTGGGTGCCATGCTAGCAGCATCACAGGTAAAAGTAGACCATGATCAGCCTCCTGTAGGCCCCCATCTGCCTTTGGGCACCAGAGCAGGCTTGGTTCAATGATGGGGCTCTGGGACGTCAGGATAACTGGAAGGTTCTGATTGCAGGATGCAAAACAGCCCCTTCTACCTCCCAAGGATTAACCCAGATCATCAGACAGATTCCCTCAGGGCAGAAGATTTAGGCTGTGGCTCTGAGGTTCCAGGGATAAAGGTTGGAGACTTAGGACTTCCTTTCCAATTTGTGGTTAGAACAAGATTGGATGGGGAGATGCCTCAGGCAACCAGGTAATAAGGAAAGAAGTGGGGACCCAAGCAGGAGAAACCCTCTCTCTGGCTGGTGTATAGGATGTGGAATGAGAACTGATGTGCCTAGGGTCAGGGGAAACAGAAGGGGGGCTGACAATATCTGGTAGCCCCAATTCCCCAGCGCCGCATTCCAGGGGAGTGATCAAAACCAGCATCATTTGTAAAGCCTTGAATTTTCCAAAGTGCTCCCAGCTCAGCCCCCTCCATGAGTCCCTACAATAAACCATATTACAGATTCAGAAACTAAGGCTCAGAGATATTAAGTTACCAGCCTTAGGTCAGTGGCAGATCCAGGGTTTGAAATAGAGTCCAACTTCAAAATCTGGACTCTCCTTTTCCTAAGCTGGGCTGTCAGAGTATTGCTATAATTTTCCACTTTTTGACTGAGAAAGATGAGGCTCACAGAGGTGAAGATACTTGCCCAAGATCACACAGCTGTCTAGGACTCAAGTTCCGGCTTAGAGTCCCAACCCCGCCAATGCCATCAGCCGCTCCCTACCCTCAGCAGCCTCTGAGTCTCCCCTGCTCAGCGTCCTCTCCCCCAGCTCAGGCCAAGGAGCATGACTGTGTCTGAAATGACTCGCTGAAGCCTGAGTAGGGAGCAGAGGACTCCTCACCCCTGAGGCTCTGCTGTCCCAGATCAAGACACCAAATGAGTGTGCTGGGAGAGGATGTAGTGGGGTGAGGCCTGGAGATGATGCTGCAGGGATCTGAGCTCTGATTTTCCTCAAGATAATGGGGATAAAGAAAGACTCAGTAAACCCCAGTGTTCTGCCTTGCTCCTCTCAGTTCTGATTTCTGGTAAGAAGAATAATGCTTCACCTGACAACAACTTACATTCTGCAAAGCTAATGTGCTGTCTCCGTAAGCCAGGGCCCTACTCTGGGCTTCAGGTTCCCACTTGGTAAAGCAAGGGCGAATTAGCAACTGGTCAGACGCAGGCCTCTGGGGAGGCCACAGAGGCTGCAGTGTGCCACCAGGGGGCGCTAGGCTCCACCTCTAGTGCAAAGGGTCTGGGCTCCCACAGGACTGCAGTGTGTGCAACTTGTTCTGGCCACTACTCGGGTTTGGTCCCGCTCCTGCAGACAGATGGCAGATGTGGGGTTGACTCAAGTGCTGAGGCCATTTATATTTCTTTCCTGTCACAGAGGTGAGCAGCTTTGTCAGTTACTAAGAAATGACAGTTACTCTACAATGTCAGCTGAACCTCCAGCTTTCATTTTTCTCCTTTGCAAACAAGAGAGTCCTCTTCTGGGTCCTCTCAGGGACGCTGTGACAACCGAGGAGAAAGAGGTAGCGGATGTGCTTTCTAAACTGTATGGCCATGTCCAGACTGGGCGATGCTTCTCCCTCACCTTCATATGTTCCCAGGGCTTGCGGGGAGCCCTGCTTAGAGAAGCACCAACGACTTACCTGCAGACTGAGTGAAAACGAAAGTGGCCCTTCTCCCCCAGCCCAACTCCATGCCCTCTGGGACAGGGATGATGGCCATTGTGCAGTGTTGAGGATGGAGTGGAGGCTGCGATGAGACCAAGCAAGGAATGCCCCAGAAACACCTGAGGTCATGGTGAAGATAAGTGGACAGTAGCCAGGGGCATGGGGGTCCCCACATATGGGACAGCAAAGGCAGCGATTTGACCAGCATCATGTCCTCCATACCGCTCCCTACCCCAACCCCACCGAGAGTTCCTCCAAAGCGGCCTGGGCCAACGTATCTGATTCCCACCCTGGGTGGCAGCAGCAGAGGTGGGGAAAGCTAAGGGGTGGCTACCCTCAGATGCCAGGAACCCAGAGGGTCCCCCATTCCCTGGAGAAACCCTTGGGCTGAGGATTCATACACACACACACACACAATCCTTGGGCCCCTGTCCCACCCTTGAGGACCAACTCAGGCCCAATTAAGAGCTCAGGTCACTCATTTGGAATGTGTGCTCTCTCCCCACGTCCCTCTGCCCTGAGGTCTCCATCTGCCCCCAGGGCCCCTGCAGGCTCAGGAGCGCTCTGCATCCTCCCTGCCCACAATGGCTGCTAAAGCAAATCCTATCATTGTCAGCCCACATTGTTTCCTAGAGAGGAAGCCTTCTTTTTTTCTAAGAGAAAGACTAAACCAGATAAACAACAAGTTTATACTTTATAGTAAAGGGAACAATATTCAATATCTTGTAGTAACTTATGGTTAAAAAGAATATGAAAACAAATATATGTGTGTTCCTATATGACTGAAGTATTGTGCTGTACACCAGGAATTGACACAATATTGTAAACTGACTATACTTCAATAAAATATATATATATATTTTAAAAAGACTAAACCAATCCCTATGCTAAAGTGTTGGGGGAGAGGGATGGATGAATGGGGAGGAAATAAAACTGTAGAGACTGGTAGTAGGAGGAGGGGGTTTGTCCTTTGGGCTGGTTGGAAGGGAGCGGGGCCAGAGCAGTTTTGAGACGTGTTAGACATGAGTGGGAGAATGAAGGAAAATAAGAGGGGTGTTCACAAGCCTGGGCCAGGCTGTGCCAAGCTGCCCGTAGCTTCAGCTCTGCTATGAACTAGCTCTACCATTCATTAGCTGTGTGACCTTTGTCAACGTACACAATCTCTCTTAGCCTGAAAGCGGTAAACTATTATTATTATTTAAGGTGTGAGGATCCCTGTTTAACCAGTGAAGAAATTAATGCTGTGAAAGAGAATGACTAGGCCAGTCACCCAGCCAACTGATGACAGACTCAGGTTCAGGCTACATATATACTCAGCGCAGGCCGGGAAGGTTCTCGGAGGAAACGAGGCTTGAGGTGGCCTTGAGGAATGGGATCCGGGGAGGGATGCTATTTCACAGAAGCAGGGAGGCGGCAATGGGATTGAGCGGTTCGGGTGTACATTAAGGAGATGCCACCAGGGGAGGAAGGGGTGTGTTATGGGGACCCTTGCATTTCTGGAAGAAGAATTTAGATTTTACAGTTAATGGAATCATAACTGGTATAGGGTGAGCTCTCTTGCCTCTGCCCCAACTGTATGGCCTCCTGTAAATCTCTCCCCATCTCTGGGCCTCGAAATTCCCATCTGCTCAATAAAAGACCAAATGATTCCTAGATGATGTTCAGAGGAGATCATGTTTTAGCAGATAATGCTAGCTGCCCCAACATCCACTCTCTCCTCCTTCCATCAGAAAAGAACTTGAGACGGGCCCATGGCCATTCAGCTAAAGATCTCTCCTCATCTGTTCCTGCAGTGAGGCAGGGCCACGTGACTATGTTTTAACCAATGAGATCAGAGTTTAAATGATGTGTGCCATTCTGTTTTCAGAAGTGGATGTGCCCTCCTGTGGTAAATGGTACCAAAGATGACCACGAAAATACCTTCTACCCCCACATGTAGTTCTACAGTGGGGTCTCTGTCCCCTCTTTTTGAATGTGGGTGAACCTGGGACTGCCTGGACCAGTAGGGAATGGTGGAAGATGCTATGTGACTTCTGAGGCCAGGCCATAAAGTACAATTGTTATGAGTTGAATTGTGTTCTCCCCCAACCCCTTCCAATTCATATTTTGAAATCCTAAGCCCCACTAGCTCAGAATGTGACCTTACTTGCAAATAGGGGCATCGCAGATGTAATTAATTAAGATGAGGTACGGGAGTAGGCCCAGTGGACCCCTAATCCAATCCTTATTGTCATTATGAAAAAGGGAACTTTGGACACAGAAGCAGACATGCATAGAGGGAAGACACCCACCTACAAGCCGAAGAGAGAGGCCTGGAACAGACCCTTCCCTCACAGTCCTCAGAAGCAGCCAGACTTGATCTCAGAATTCTAGCTCCCAGAACTGTTGTTAAACCACCCAGTTTGTAGCACTTTGTTACGGCAGCCCTAGCAAACTAATACAGCAATGCAGCCTACTCCTGGTTCTCGTGGAGCATGCACTCTGGGGAGAGCCAGCTGCTAGACAAATCCAGCTACCCCAAGACATCATGCTGGAGAGCCCCATGTAGGTGCTGGGTCAGCGGCCCCAGCTGAGCAACCAGCCAGCAGCGCCCATCAGACATGTGAGTGTCAGCCCCAGCCAACCTCTGACCATCATTACTGCATAAGAGGCTCTCAGTGACAACTGCTGAGTCAAGCCCTTCCCAGTCCTGACCCACAAAATCATGAGTGAAATAGAATGGTTATTTTAAGCCACTAAGTTTTAGGGTAATTGTTACTCAGCAGAGTAACAAGCACCTCCCCCCTCCCTTTCTCCTTCCCTCCCTTCCCAGTGGCTGGAACATGCATATGGTGGTGGCGGGCCATCTTCAGTGTGTAGATGAGGGCAAGGCGAAGCCACAGAATAGGAGCCTGAGCTGTCAGACGGCCCCCTGGAGTGGAGCTGCCAACTCCCCAGATGCCACTTACATATTATGTGGGAGAGAAATAAACTTCTATCTTGTTAAGCCATTTTAAATTCTGCCTCTATTTTAAAAGCCAGATCAATACCCTAGAAATTTAATGTGTGTAAAACAAATAACTCAGTGCCTAGCACATAAGAAAGTGCTTCTTGGTTTTTTTTAAAGGTAGCTGTTGCTCTTGTTGTCAGTAATGTTACATCTAAGTTTGCCTCCAGCTCCAACATTGGTTGAGTCTGATCAGCAGTGGATTAACCACCTCTCAGCACTCCTCCAAGTGACCATGAGGTGAACCCAAGTCACCGATGGTCAGTCAACCAGACATGTCAAGCTGGGAAGAATTTGTCTGTGGTCATATAATTTATACCAGGGGTCTCTTCTATTAGCCTCAAACTGAACACAGCTCTCTGAGGCAGACCAACAGACAGGGGACCCGGACACCAACACAGACTCACATCTTCCTTCCCCTCCAACCACACAACAAACCAAAGCTCATGAAAAGTCACTGTGTGCTCCCATTCTGTTTCTCCTGGTGTGGGGGTAGTGAGATTGGAGGAGAGAAGATAGCAAGGGAGTTGAGGGGAAATGTGATGGGAAGAAAGTCTCGGATATGGCAATACTGTAGGAAGAGGGAACCAGAGAACTGAACTAACTCCACAACCCCTCTAAGCAATCCAGAAAGGCTTCTGGGAGGAGGTGGCCACTACCCTGAAGCTGTTTTCCAGACTGAAGGGAGCAAAAGGGGTCTGCAGACAGAGAGAGTGGCCTGGGCAAAGGCTTAGAGTGTTAGAGTCCACACAGCCTGTGACCCGACCAGACCCTGGTCCTGCCTCCACCTCACCTTCCAACCCTACACTGAGGGAGACTGGAGGGAGGCTCAGGGGAGGATAGGTGTAGAGCGCTGTGTTCCCATAGGGCAGGTGGGTCTGAGCAGGGACCTCTCCTGCAGCGGTGGCAGAGCCAGCTTGAGTCTTCTTCCACAGTCACATAAGGAGGGTACCCCCAGGGACTCGTCACCAGGAAGGCATGGTTAGTGACTTACCTACTGAGGGTGAATTCAGAAAGGGGATGGCAGCTGCTGAGAGAAAGGGTGGCCTCCACACTCCCATTGCTCCTCTTGCCCAAGGAATGGAGGTGTTAGAAATGACCCTTCCCCAGCACACACACACCTCACCCCCCTCACCAAGGACTCTCCCTCCATAGCGCCCGCCATCTTGGATCCCTTCTCCACTCCCAGCCACTACAGCCCTGGGACTGAGTAACACATCTCCTCAGGGTAACCTGGGATGTTAGTGCCAAGCCTACGCCCCAGCCACCTTCGCCTTTGGGGGAGGGGGCAGCTCTGTCCCCATCTACTCTCCTGGGCTGCCTGGCATGCTCATTTCCACCCTCCCCATCCTCCGGCAACTCTTCCTGCTCCTCCCTACCTTCTATCAAGAACTTTCATCCTGCCCCCGCCTGGCCCGATCAGACAGTTCCAGGGCCCCTTATCTGGGCGCTGTCCACTCCCCGGGCAAGTGGTAGCGTCAAAGCAGAGGGAGCCCCCAACTCCACCCCAGCCCTGTTCCGAGGCGCCTTTTGTCTCAGGAGCCATCTTCTCCCCTCCCGGCTCTCATGCCCTCCCCCTCCACTCATACTTGGATGCCACCTCCAGGAAGAAGGGAAAGAAAATACAAATGCCCACTTTCCATTTCAGTGAAATTTGCTCTTTATTTAGGGACCATAGAAGGACCACACACAACTCTCCAGCCCGGGGTGGGGCAGTGAGAAATGGGATGAAAGCCCCATCCCGAGCCCCCCCAGATGCAGCCGGCGGGTAGTGGAATCCAGGTTTCAGGGTCAGGAGCAAACATGCAAATGAGGTCGGTGTATTGGCGTGTCTCCCAGGAGGCCTTGGGGGTCGTCACCACATGTAGGCGCCTTCTGGTCTGTAGGAGGGAAAGGAAAGGAATCGCACGGAGCCTGGAGTTGGCTCTGGGGAGGCGAGACTATGGGAGAGTACTAGGGGCGGTGCCAGGGGGGCAGTAGGACCAGGCCACGCTCCAGGGGACAGGGCATGTGGAGGGGCGCCTTTACTGCGACTTGACGGGGCGGTCCTCGCGATCCAGGAAAAGCAGTTTGGAGAGGAGAGCTTCGGGACTGTCACGTTTCCCATACCTGGGGGCGGGACCGTAAACGGGCGGGGTCAGGCCTGGCCGCGCCCCTAGTGGGGACCCGGCCCCGCCCACCCCGCGCAAGCGCTCACCGCTGCCGAGTGACCAGGTTGAGGTAGTGGCGCAGCGACGCGTAGTAGCGGCTCAGGTCTTCTGGCGAGGCGTCTTCGCCAGGAGCCTCGGGTTTGGCGGGGTAGGCGTCGACCAGCGCCCCCAAGCAGACGAGCAGGACCAGCAGCACTGTGACCATGGCGGGCCACGGCCTGCGCACCGTCACCATCTGGAGAGGGGGCACTGGAGTCATCCTGAGCCTCGACGCCCGAGGCAGGAGGCTGAGGCCACCGTCAAGCCCATGCCACCTGTTCGCTGTGTGTTCTCGGTCACTGCACCCTCTCTGGCCTAAGTTTTCTCACCTGTCAGAGGGGCAGAAGCCCTGCCTGCCTCAGCTCCCTCCACCCAGAATGCCCAGAAGGGTAGACAGAGGAAGAGGGCTATGCTGTCGGTGGGGACTCCTGGGCCTCTCGCCTTCCCTCTTCTGCTGGCCCCCTTCCAATTCAACTTTCCCACTCGGCACCAGTTTCCACCATCCCAGCCTCAGTTTCCCCACAAAATAGCCTGGGATCCCAGGTAGCAGACCATTCCTGGGTCCCAGGCCACTCACAGTGACAATTCCAGAGACAGAGATGATTAGGAGATAGGATGTGAGAAGAGTCCCAAGGGCTGGACTGCTGCAGATCAGGCTGTGGCCTCCTCCTCAGCTCAGCAGTTTCCCTGTGGGGCTTATATCCCTGCCTGGAGAGGAAGGGGGAGTTGGAAAAGGGAGGCCCTTCCTCCTTCCTCCCTCCACCCCACACCAGATCACTCAGCTTATACCTAGACAGTATGTGGTGTCTTCACCTTGAAGGAGCTGAAGAGGGAGCCTCCACGCTCAGACTCAGAGTATCTCTGGATGGGGTGCCTGGCCCATACTCCATCTTCACCCTACAGCCCCTCAATGGCAAGTTTAGCCTCCTGAGGAAGTGAAGGGTTTGGATCTAGATTCCTGGGATGACCCCTAGGACCAAGGTTGAGATTATATCTTTCCTAGCCTGTCCATGGGTGGAAGTGGTGGGTGGTGGGGGGATGGGCAGGAGGCCAGACCCATTTTTTTCCAGCCTGTGAGACCCGGGGGCACTCCTTCCTAAAGCCAACCTCTTCTGCCCTTGCTCCGTGATGCATTGGAGAGGGGTGGAGGGGGACAGGACCAGTGGGTCTCTTTCTACTGGAGCCAGGGATGGAAGCTGTGGCTTTGGCTCTTGACTTGTTGTTTGTGATATCCCGGAGGAGAGGCCTCGCTGGACAGCCCCACTATGTCCCCTGTCAGTTAAAGAGTTGGGGAAAGGGGCAGGAGGAGGCAAGACCCAGCCCTCTCCCCAGAAGCAGCTGAGTTGGCCACCTGTGCTCCCAGCCTGACACATAACACACTCAGGTCCAGCAGGTCTGGCATAGAGACCCCTTCCCAGGCAGTGTGCCCCCATGCCCATCCAGGTGTCATTCAGGGCACTGGTGTCTACTGGGATTGCATGATGCCAGGGCTGCCTGAGCACCTGCCACCATCCCCAGTCTATTGCAATCTATACTGGGCTCTGGGGCGAAGATTCCCCTCGCCCCCACCCAGGGCCTTTGAAGGAAATGACTACTAAGCACCTGCTGGGCACTGGGCAGAGCATGATTTCAGGCACAACAACACAGTCCTCCAGAGCTTCCAGGCGGCCCATCGGCCGGCGAGAGCAGGAGGGGCCGTCTTGTCCGGGCCCCTAGTTGTGGGGCCTCACCTCCACCCTCCAGGACAGATGGCGTGGGTGTTATTTTTAGAGCTCTCTCTGGAGGTGGAGAGTCCAAGGCTCCCTCAATCAATCCCTTTTTATGGGTTCAGTCACCTGCACTCTCCGGAAATGGTTGCTTATCAGCCATTTGGGCCCTATGGGCCCCACATTTCCCAAGAAAGGCCAGGTCGGCTTGCTGAGCACGGAGGTGGAAGAAAACATCAGAACAAGGGGACATGGACCCCATCCTCAGAAGGAGGAGGAGAAACATTCTTCTTAGGGAGCTCTCATCTGAGGCGCAAGACACAACCCTGTTCTCCAGGAACCCCAGGCCACATCCTTGTAGAGCCCCAAGGAGCTCTCGGAACATAGGGACAGAGAAGCACGGCAGGGAGAAGCCTGGGTAGGGAGAGGAGACAGCAGAAATCAAAGAACTCCACTCCTCCAGAGGTCTTGGAAAGACAGAGACAGGTGCTCACCCTAGGGATGGGGAGGGCAGCCGGGGGAGCTGGTGAGGGCAGCTGTTCTCCCAGGGCTCAAGGCTTAGATAAGGCACCTGCAGGTTAAAGGGCGTAAGGACATTTGAGAGTTGGTCTGTTTTCTCTTCTAACACCGCAGCCCCAGCTGGGGGGTGTGGGGGTGACCAGGGGGTTTAGTGTGCTGACCCCAGGCAGAGAAAGACGACAGTAGTTGCGAGATGCCCACAGTAGATCTGTGGCATCCCAGGAACCCCCACGTGCCTTGGGGAATTGGGGGTCTGGGGATAGACAGGAGGAGAGGAGAACAGTGAAGAAGTTAGAAGGCGTGGGGGGAAGGCCCCGATTCAGGGTTCAACCTCTGAAAAAGTCGCTTCCCCATTTGCCTTTAGAGTGAAAGTACTTGGGACCCAAGGAGGTCCCTCAGGGTGGACCAGGAGCCAGCCTCCCACATCCTCACAAACCTTCCCTATCCATCATGTGCCTGTCCTCCAATTCCACTCCCCAGTTACAGGGCCAGCTGATTGGTTCATGAATCACCACCTCCTCATTGGAAGGTTTATTAATTTGTTGATTAGTGGGAAGGATGTCTCAGCCCTCGATCAATAGGCTCAACTATCCTCCTCACCCACACACCTACTGCCATCATTGACCCATGACTCAGTAGCTGTGAGATATATCTGGAGGGTGGGGGGCTGACATCTGTAAAGGGAGATGCTTCTAAACGGTTGTTATTGTAGACTTGGGCCCAGCATCTGCCTCCAACTTGTCTTCGAAGGGAAAGGGGGACAGAATCACTGGGGTTCCCTTGATCCCCATTCTCAGAGCAGCTAGCAAGTCCACCCCAGGGGTCCAGGGGGCCATGGACTTGGACCCCACTGCCCTTGCCCAGTGGGCTCAAGGGCTACTTATCAAGAGAGGGTGGCCCATGCCACTCATCCCCAGAGGCTTAGCATTCCATACCCCACTCTCCCCACCTCCTCCACACAAGGCCTCTCTCTGATATACCACTCACTGGGCAGTGCTAGTCCACTGCCTTCCACAACCATTTCCTAGGCGCCCACGACATCCATTTCTGACCTTATGTCTGTGTTCAGACCTGATGTTCCCATGGTGCTGGCACGTTGTGGGCGCCTAGAAATGGTCTTTGAATCAATCAGCAATTGAACATACCAGTTAAGATCTTGGTGAAGCTGCCTTCATAGAAACCAAGTAACAGTAGCTTAAGTACCATTGAGGTTTATTTTTCTCTCATATTAGGGTCCAAGCTGGCAGCTGGTCCAGGGGTAGGATGCCTCTGATTCACAAGGAACCCAGGCACCTCTATCTTGTTACCCCAAAAATGTTGCCCCCATCTGTGTGGTTGAAGAATGTTCATCCCCCTACATCCACATTTTAGCTCATGGGAATGAGAAAAGAGGAAGTAGAGGGCAAGATTTCCCTTTGAAAAAGATGATGGGAGAAGCTGCACACATTACTTCTGCTCCTACCCCAGTGGTCAGAACCTAGACATGTGGCCATTCCTAGCTGGGAGGGAGACAGGGGTATATAGTTCCCACCATGAGGTTGGCATCTACTTCCAAGATTTGAACCATCTCTTGGGTGTTTTCTGTCACCAACAATCAGTTCCCTGATTTTCCTGATGCCAACTGGGTGTTCAACAATCTGATTCAGTTCTGACACTAACAACTTGAAGTAAGTGCAGACCCGCAGCTTAAGGGCTGAGTCAGTCCCACAAGACTGCCCCCCTCCTGTTTCAGATGCCATCCCAAGTCTGGGGCCAGCTGTACTCTAACTAACTGTAAACTGGGAGTTCCCACGTCCCTCCTGCGGTTTGATTATTTGATAGAACAGCTCAAAGAACTCAAGAAGACAAGCTTTATTTCCTCTTACTGGTTTATTGCAAAGGATGTTATAAAGGACACAAATAAACAGCCCAGTAAAGAGGTACAAGGGGTGAGGTCTGGAGGGTCCTGGGTACAGGAGTTTCAGTCCAGTGGGGTTGGGTGCACCACCTTCCTAGCACCTGGATGCTTTCATTAACTCGGAAGCTCTCCAAATCCCATCATTTAAGGGGTTTTATGGAGGTTTCAACATGTAGATATAATCGGTTATTAACTCAGTCCCCAGCCCCCACCCCCTCCTGGAAGTCAGGGCTGAAAGTTCCAGGCTTCTAGTCAAGACTTCGGCTTTCTGGCAACTAGCCTCCATTCTAAAGCTCCCTAGTGGCCCAACGAGTGTCACCTCATTGGAACAAAAGACTCTTTTATCACCCAGGAAATTCCAAGGGATTTAGGAGCTCCGTGTCAGGTAAAGAGTTGATATGTACATGAAATTCACAGTTCAGAAGGTGCCCCCTCCGTCATGTTTGTACAACATGTTTTTATCCCTAAGTATAAAATGAGGTATACCATATATACTTTGTTTTGTCTTGCTTTTTTCATTCAATAATACATCACAGATTCTGCCTGTGCCAATAAATATATACCCAACCTTTTTCCCCAGCACTTCCAAGCACTTACCTGCCCTATTTTTTTCTGTAGCACTCCACTTCCTACTGTACTATATAATTAACTTATTTATTATGTTTATTGTCTGTCTGCTTGCAATGGACTGAGTGTCTATGACCTTCCAAAATTCATATGTTGAAAGCCTCACCCCCATGTCATCACATTAGGAGGTGGGGCCTTTGGTGAGTAATTAGGTCATGAGAGTGGAGCCCTTCTGAATGGGACCAGTGCTTTTATAAAAGAGACCTCAGGGACCTCCCCCAACCCCTCCGCCATGACTCCACGAGAAGATGGCCTTCCACGACCTAGGAAGGAGGCCCTCATCAAACAGTGAATCTGCTGGTGCTTTGATCTTGGACTTCTCAGCCTCCAGAACCGTGAGACATAAATTTTGTTTTCAAAGCCATCAAGTTTATGGTAATTTGTTATTATTAAATACCAGCCTGAAAAGACTAAGACACAACTAGAATACTGACTCCGTGAGGACTGAAGTCTTTGTTTTTGCCACTGACATCTCTCCAGCTAGAACAGAGTCTGCCACACAGTGGGGGGTCTAGCAGTACTTGACGAATCCACATCCTCACTTTTAGCAGCTGCACAGTCTGCATGCAATCACATATACAAACATGTATACACACACACGTGCACACATTCTTAAAGACAAAAGTCTCTTCCTATCTCACTTCAGGCTAGATCTTTACCAAGGAAGAAAGTAATTCCCAAACACCACGTGCCCTCCCTTCACACACACTATGGGCTGGACGGTGGGTGAGGTCCGGTCCCGGCCGCACCAGAGTGGGCACCCTCCTTCACCTTGAGGCTGCAGAACCAGGGCCTAAGAACACAGACTCGGGGCCAGGAGGACTGAGTAGACCACTTACCACCTATGTGACCTTGCGCAAGTTACTCAACCTCCATGTGCCTCAGTCTTGTCATTGTTCAAATGTAGATAACAACAGTAGCTACTTCATATGGTTGTGGC